ATTTATATACATTTTCTAAATGATGATTTATACAATTTTATATTATTGGATTTAATTAATAACAGGTATTGAGCAGTAATAGTTGATAAAAATTTAATTGGAATTAAATTTAAAAAAAAAATAAATTGGATAAGAATAAAAAATAATATACTAATTTCTTTAAGGTTACTTAATATTAAAGGGTTATTATAATTTTATAATTTTATTTAATATAAAGTATAAAGCTTAACTGAAGATTATTTAATTAATTATATAATTAACAAAAAATATATATTATATCAATGTATATTGATAAAAACTTGAACTATTATCTTATGAAATTTTAATTTTGTCCTCAATTTAAACTAACTTTTTATTAGTCATAATTTAATTAAGTTCGATAAAATTAATCGCTAAATTAATAAAATTTTAATTATAATTATTGGATTAAGCTTGCGAAAATAATTAAACTAAGGCAGTCTTCTTATAATAACAGCGTATACTTGAGCTTAAGTTAAAATAATATAGTAAAAGTTTAATAGTTTTAAGGGTATGCCCTTTTATACGAGCTATTACTCATCTGATTATCTAATATTAAACTCAATTAACCCTGTAACCCTTAATAAAACCCTTAATATTAAATTCATTTAAATTTTATTTAAAAAGTAGAGTAGTATAAGCTGACATCACACTATAATATTATGAAATATTATAATAAATTATATTGTAAATATTTATTATATTAATTAAAATTAAAATTATTATGTGTAAAAAAAGTAATTAGTGTACTAAATGGATTAATTTTGGCAAAATAAAAACATAGAGGTATAAAAACGCTCCCAGGTGGGCTTGAACCACCAACCTCCCGATTAACAGTCGGACGCGCTAGCCAATTGCGCCATGGAAGCTTAATATTAATTAACCTTTATATACTATAATTTGCATATTATAAGCTCATAATGTTATAATATATACGCTAACCAACCATTATATATTACTTAATAATCCTTATAACCCTTGTAATAACTCTAGTATTAGTCCATAACCCTTAATCCAATTCTTTCAATTTTCCATCCCATAAATTTTTAACACTAATTAATTTTTATTTATTACCCTTAGTAATAATTTTTTATTTTAAGTTAATATTAATTAATTTTAATAAATTAAAATGAATTCTAATAACACTAATACAACAGCAAATTCGGATAGTATAGAATTATTCCCAAGTTTAAATACTTCAACTAACGCTAACGCTAATAATACTCAAAAATCAAATACTGGGCCACAATTAATTCAATCGCACATTCCTGAACTTTTAGCAAGTGCTAATAAGTGTGAAATGTGTAAATTAGAAAAGTATAAATATAAGTGCCCAAGTTGTCAATTTAAGTCCTGTAGCTTAAATTGTAGTAAATTACATAAAGAAAACTTAAATTGTACTGGTGAACGTGACCCAACTAAATTTGTTAAAAAGAAGCAGTATACAGAATTAAATTTAACTGAAGGTAATAA